TTATTTTTTAATATTTTACTGATTTCAGAGAGGAAGGGAGAAGGAGAGAAACATCCATGATGAGAGAGAATCATGGACCGGCTGCCTCCTGAATGCCCGCAACCCAGGCACGTTCCCTGACCGGGAATTGAACCGTGACCCCCTGGTTCATAGGTTGACGTTCAACCACGGAGCCACGCCGGCCGGGCTAAAGGATATTCCTAACCTGAAAAAGAATCAACTGCAAGGAGGAGGAAATTAAGGACAAAAAAACCTACCATTTCTTTTATCAAACTGAGCATAATAATGCAAGAGCCCCGTGGGACGGGTGCTCTCACACGCACAATTAGACGGACTATTAGCCGAGACCGCCTTTCAGAAGAGCTAGTGACAAGTTAGTGAGAAATTAAGTCGTTACCTTTGAGTGTTCGGTTAAAAAAAGTCATCACGAAGACAAAAGACTTATGCAAAGATGTCCGCGGAGTCTTATTTACAAAAAACATCTGGAAATTAGAAACAGACACGACGTCCGATCTGAGGAGAGTGATTATGTAAACAGCGGCTCTCAGCCTTCTGGCCCTTTAAATACAGTTCCTCCTGTTGGGACCCAACCATAGAATTATTTCCGTGGCTCCTTCATCACTGTCATGTTGCTCCTGTGATGAATCGTCATGTGAATATCTGATATGCAGGATGGGCTTAGGCGACCCCTGTGAGAGGGTTGTTTGACTGCCAAAGGGGTCGCGGCCCACAGGTTGAGAACCGCTGCTGTAAACAATGACGCGCTCACAGCACACACTGATGACCGGGCACTCAGGGGACAGGATGGTCTCAGTGTTTCTTGGATGGTTTCGTATCGTTATCATACCTGCCCCATGAGGCCAGCCTGCTGCCTCCATTTCACAGATGGAAACACTGAGGCACAGGGCGCAGCTGGTGAGCACTGGAGCCGAGATCACACCTCCAGTCGGGCCCCCGCGCCTCCCCGCTCCCTGCACTGGCCCCTCCTCAATATGCTGCTGATTCAAGGCCTGCCATGGCCCAGGGACGATGCTCACACGTGGGGCTTTGTGCTTCATAACAAGCAGGAAAGGAGCTACAGTACGCAGACTGTATAATCGCAGAGAGGGACGGAGCCAGTCAGGCAGAATACAAGAGCCCTGGCTGGTGTGGCTCAGTGGATAGAGCGTCGACCTGCAGACCCAAGGGTCCCGGGTTCGATTCTGGTCAAGGGCATGTACCTGGGTTGCGGGCACATCCCCAGTAGGAGGCGTGCAGGAGGCAGCTGATCAATGTTTCTCTCTCACCGATGTTTCTAACTCTCTACCCCTCTCCCTACCTCTCTGTGAAAAGTCAATAAAATATATTTAAAAAAAAAAAAAAGAGAGAAGGCCTCGGCTAAGGCGAGGATGTCGTGTGGGCCACACCGAGGGCAGTGAAGGAGATGTCTGTTTATGGTGGAGGCGGCACACATGTGCATGATGCAAAACGGGTCTGCAAGCCCGGCTGGTGTGGCTCAGTGGCTGAGCCTCGGCCCATGAACCAGAAGGTCCCAGGTGCGATTCCGGTTGGGGCACAGGCCTGGGTTGTGGGCTCGATCCCCAGTGTGGGGCGTGCAGGAGGCAGCAGACCCATGATTCTCTCTCCTCATTGATGTTTCTCTCTCTCTCTCTCTCTCCCCCTCTTCCTTTCTCTCTGAAATCAATAAAAGGTATTTTTTAAAAATGTCTTCAAGTGACCAGGATCTGAGATTTTTCTCCCCTAAGACAAAAAATAAATAAAAAGCAACTCTTTGCTCCCTGTATGTGAAGCGCTCTATTTAAGCAGCACTTGAATATAAGATTCATGAGCATAAACCAAACATAGACAGTGAAACGTCCTTCAGGAACTGCCCCCATGAGTCAGAGCCGAATTACATCCATTAAAGGGGTCACAGTTCAGGTTCCTAAGCGGAGGAACCCACATTCAAAAGAGAGCCCTGGCCATGTGGCTCAGTGGATAGAGTGTTGGCCTGAGGACCAAAGGGTCCCGGGTTCGATTCCGGTCCAGGGTACGTACCTCGGTGGCAGGCTCCTCCCCGGCCCAGGCCCTGGTCAGGGCTCATGCAGAAGGCAACCCATCGATGTGTTCCTCTCACATCGACGTTTCTCTCGTCTCTCTCCCGTCCCTTCCGCTCTCCCTAAAAATATCCTCGGGTGAGAATTAAAAACAATAACAACAACAATAAAAAACAACAAAACAACAAAAGGGACATACGCCCGTTACCTGATCCACCTTCATGATCTTCTTGGCTTTCATATTTATGTAATAGTCTCCCCACAACGTTTTCAAAAGAACTTCCTTTTTTATGCCAATCTTTTGACTGTAGATTTGGGCAAAGTGCTCAATTCTGGAAAAAAAAAAAGCAAGTGTTCACGTTATTAGTGACATCAGTGAGAGTGACCATCGTTACCACTTGGGGTTCCGCTGCCAGGCACCGGTCTGTTCAAAGTGCTTCAAACGTATCCCTCACTGCAATCGTTCCCACTGTCCCCCCGAGGCAGG